TTTGCGTGATCTTATACTTGTTTAATTAAAAAAAATGCCTTCAAATACATATGTTTATTTGTATTCAATTTTCCACAAAACATATTTAGCTTATTTTAAATGAAAATAAAGAACAGAGAATAAAAACACTGTTGAAGAGAAAATACATATTCGTGTTAAATTCGCCTCAGTTTAATTTGTTAATTCAAGTTTGACATCTAAAATCTTAATCCGCAATCCACATTTACCCGACAATCTTGTATATTGTATTTTCTCAATGGAATAACCTTACGTGCACGTGACCATCAGAAGCGAAGACAAAAAATATATTTGTAATGGTATTTATCAAAACTTAAATGTTTGAATATTTAGTAGAATATGAATTCGCCAAATAAGCAAAGAATTATAATCTTGCATTGTTCAACATTGGAGAAATGACTCAAGTTGAACATTAATCATATTAATACTGATTCAATATTTTATTATAGTCTCACCACATACAAACATAAAATGAGAATCACAGAAATAAACATAAAACATTAAAACATTTGCATTGTATGTACCAATCTTAAAAAGAATAATGAGAGACTTTTAAGACACAATATATTTACTCATTTACATTTAAAATTTACAGTGTCCACCTGTACTATATGAAAATAAATCATTTTTTCTTTGAGAACTTGGAAATAAAATGCCGTTTCTTTTCAATAAAATATTGTTGATGTTTTTGGCAACTATAGCAGCAACATTGCCGTTATTAAATAAAAATATAAATTTTTCGCTATCTGATAATTAAAGGTTAAAATGTTCATTAAACTGTTTAGCTTAATGTATCATAATTTGTCTTAAATCTACATATAATGGGCATTTTAAAATGACATGAAGTTCATCTTCAATAGTAGAGCTACAACACATGTCATCTCGTGGACTTCTTTTCTTTCATACTTTCCAGTTTCTATTTTTAGTGGAGCTACCCCACATCTTAATTTTGCAAAAGCACTGTTGTTTTTAATTGGTGGAATATTTTTTAACAAATAACAGTTTGCCAACAGTATATTTTTAAGACCATTTCGCTCAGTTGAATAGACATTCCAATTTTAACTGTTCTGTCGTAGAAATGTCATCATGTTATTGTTTGTACGTAGAACATGTATCATTATATTAAAATGTGTCAGTCCCAGCCAAGATTCACTGAATAACCACGAAATGTTTACAGATGATAAATAAATTTTACACAAAAATTCATGAATCTGTATGAACGTTATGTACGATGAAGTTAATTAAGTGTTCACAAGAAAGTAAGTATGAATGTAGATTTTATGTAAAGTCGGAACATATATATACACTTTAACCGTGAGATAAATATAAGCTTTGATGAGCTCTATAACCGACTATCATATAAAAACCGCAATGAATGAACGTTACCCGATAAGAGATGAACGTTTGACAAATGCACGTTATCTGATGTACACAGTTATACACGATTGACGAACGCACGATACACGGTTAAGAATGAATGATTGATGAACGCACGATACACGCACGATACACGCACCATACACGATTAAGATACACGATGCACGCACGTTACACGGAAAATACACGGAACGATGAATGATGAGCGCACGATTGGTACACGCACGATACACGCACGATACACGCACGCAACACGCACGATACACGATGAACGCACGGAATAATGGTCAGTTTGAATTTTAGAAGGTCTGTACAACAGTTAATACAAGGCTGAAGACTCTACTAAATATAAAACAATCGTTATGTATAGCTATGACGGTATCAAATGGCAACAGTCGAATGACATTTATGCGACGGTTGTCAGATGTGGAGCAGGATCTGCTTCCCCTTCCGGAGAACCTGAGATCACCCCAGCTTTTGGTGGGATTCGAGTTGCTCAGTCTTTAGTTTTCTATGTTGTGTTTTGTATACTGTTGTTTTTTTTTAATTGGTCTTTTTTTTCTTTGTTGCCACTTCATCGTCAGTTTATTTTCGACTTATGCGTTTGAATATTCCTTTGGTATCTGTCGGCTCTCTTTTATATTTACTCACCTTACATAAACTAACCTATAAACTACGTTAATGAACATTACTTCACATATAAGTCCAATTTAACACTCCATATCTAATCCCTTTAGTACACTAGCAAGTTGACTATATATAGAAATATTTTAATACTGTTGATATACAAATAATGATCAGGTAAATAGCTGTCAGTTGGTAAAGGTAAGTAAAGTTTCACATGTATACATCGAAAAATAACACTAACACAGTCTGGATAAGTATAGATTATTACATGGCATTTTTCATATCAGACCCTTTATCGGCACTAGGTCATGATATCAGCCCAAGAGCCGTAGGCTCGAGGGCTGATATCATGAACGAGGGCCGATAAAAGGTCTGAAATGAAAAATGACATGTAATGATCTTTTTATCATATACTTCAGCAGAAGAAATACAGACAAGAACTATTAAGATTTTGTCTTTCTTTGAACTTTTAGATAATAATTTCCAGACAGCCAAATACAAATTTCTTAACTTTAATTGTTTTTATTGATAATACAAACATTTTATTTATCTTGTGACATATCACAACAATAATCATGTTCTTAGTTTGAAAAGTTTATTGTCACCTTTCCTGTGATGGTTGCCCCCGAAAACATGTGCATATAGTTATGCCTTAAGTTGTTGGGGCTGGAACTTGTCTAGAGTTGGACTCAAAATTTGATATGTCTTTCAAAACATGTGTAATCTTAATTCATTGTTGGTTCTCAACCATTTTGTGAAAAGTATTAAATCACTCGGAAAACCGCACTGTGTTGTTTTTCAAAGACTCGACAAACGCAACCATGTCGTCTGTCATTGTTACAAACAAATTTCCGGAAATTCACGTAGTTGCATGCGATAAACGTCACGAACATTAACGGGAAGGCATGTGATAACATTCCGGAAGCAGTCAATAAGGTTCGTTTATCAGCCCGCCGAGGAAACTCTTAGGAATCTGGTTAATAAACATAGTAATCCTTTCATAGCCTTTTCATATTTTTAAATGTTATTGAACTGTAAATTTAAGTAATATTTTATACAAGTACATGATAAACCTAAATGAATTAAATGCACTCTTTGTATTACCACTTGGGACTGTAAAATATCTCTTGAGAAATATTGTACATCAATCTAACAAAAGAAAATGAACGAAAGACACATCAAAACGACATCATTGGTCATATTCCACTTTGAGATCATGGGTATTGCTAGTGGTCTTCAACTCTGACCCCGTGTTCAAAAAACAGCTCCATGAACAACCGACTCAACTTGTCCCGTGTCGATAATTCTACATTTAATGCATTAAATAACATATCTCAAGGTAGTAAATACAGGAACAAAAATCTAAAACATTGATAGAATGGTTACAGCCGGGGTTTTATGTTTGGGATCGTGTTGATCAATCTTCAGTTTTCTGTATCAAAAACAGTTTGTTTTTTTGGATCGAATTTTGTTTGTACGCCTTTTTTTTTCTTTCTATTAGCAATGATATTGGTTTGGAAACACAGAGTATAATAAATAATTGCACTGGAAGCTATCAAATGCCAAAACAGCGTCCTACATTGTATATGACTAGCCAACACAGTGATAATTTGCATTCAGGAGTTGCAACCTTAGTCTTTTTGAAAGATATACATCATTTTCTTTGTAAATTTAACCCAAAAAATCTAAATATTGGATAAAGCTGTATAATTGACTGCTCATTTTGTACTTCTGTCAATTAGATGGTTTATTCACCAAGTAATAGTACTAATAAACGACCACATAAAGAACAGTTATACCTAAATCTTAGTTAATTATTAATGGGTGATGCATGCGACTTGCATAGAACTCATGTCCAAATACAGATTTAACAGTTAGAATTGGGACAAGTATATTATATATTATGTTTAATACGAAAGTTGTTTAATAACACATGGATTAAAAAAATACAGCCCTAAATGCGGCAACGAAGGTTATACATTTCTTTAACTTATACACATATTTGTTTAGTAAAGAACAGTTTAAGTCAACGCTGACTAAGCATACATATCATTAAAGAGTATTTGATTGTGAATTTGGATTTGTTGATTTAAATAATACTAGACTGTAGAAAAGTTATGTAGCCATTGATTTAAACAATAAAGGTGTTACAATACATGATTACAAGTACTTTTAAAATCATAATTCAATAAGATTTTAAGTCCACAACAAATAAGGCTACATGTACAAATTGTACATTAAGAAAAGGGGGCTTTATACACAGCAATTTTAATCCATATTAGCTCAAGGGCTGATGTTGATATCTATTGAAGGGACATTTCGGACATTGCAATCCGATTGCAATCCGCAACTATTAGCGTGATGATTTAAGTCTATGTATTATTGTGGAAACGAATTTTCGTTAATCGTAATAGATTTCACAACTTCCTATGAAAAAATGTCCACAAAACATTTTGTTATTTGGCTTCAAAGTTGAGCAGGTACATTATTTCGCCCTGAAAAACACTTGTAATAACTATTTTATGAAATCAGTTATGATCACATTTTTAACTGTAAAAATAGACTTCTTAAGAATAATGTCTTTACTGTAGCCTAATGATAGAAATAAATTGCACATCATAGAAATTTTATACTTTTAAGAAAGTCCAAGCTTAACTTACAGGAAAATCCTGGCTGAATAAACATAGACCACAAGTTCATCACTCAAAATAAATTATGACAGTGAGCATGAAACCCGCAAATACAGTTTTCGAATGTTTATATGTCTCTTAGGTTTTATGTAGTTTTTAAGATATTAGAAATTATTATAAATGTCTGAATTAATAAACATCTTAGTAATTTCAATTATATATTTAAATATATATATACACGTTTGATTTCATTACAATTTAGCACCAACCACATGAAGTATGATTCGCCAAAGATGTTAGACATCAGCATCACCTTCAACTACATTGGCCTTTTTGTTTGTTTTGCAGCTATACAATTTGGAAATGAGAGTCTTATTCTGTTTGTTGTACCTTTCGTTCCTGAACATAGTAATTACAGAACACACGACAGAAACCGCTTTACTAGAAACTTCATTAGGATCGATCAAAGGCATAAAGGGAGTATTTGCAGACACTGGTGACACTTTGTACGAATTCCGTGGAATACCATTCGGAAAACCTCCTATTGGATCTCTGAGATTTAAGAAACCAGTGCCGTCTGGAATGTGGGAAGACATCTTAGATGCTACTGCATTTCGTTCGGCATGCCCACAAAATATTCCGGACTTCATGCCTGAATTATCTAGACCTACAACATCTGAAGACTGTTTATTCTTAAATGTTTACGTACCACAGTCATTAGACAAATCGAATAACTTTTCAGTTATGATATGGATTCATGGCGGGGGGTTTGAAGTCGGGTTTGGAAATGAGGACGATCTTTCACAAATGGCAATAGAGGGGGACGTTATAATGGTCAGTTTTAACTACAGACTCGGCATTTTTGGATTTTTAGCCATAGATCACCCAGCTGCACGGGGTAACTATGCATTATGGGATCAGAAATTAGCTTTACAGTGGGTTCATGATAACATAGAAATGTTTGGCGGGAATCCCAATTCCGTGACCATTTTTGGGGAATCTGCAGGCGGCTACAGTGTTTCACTCCAATCGCTTATATTTACAAATAAAGATTTATTTCATCGTGCCATAGCTCAAAGTGGTGTTCATAGTAAAGTCCTCATGCGCAAACAGGATGAAGTTAAAGAATATACAAATCAACTGTCGAAAAAATCCTCGTGTTCACTAGAAGATGAGTACAAATTTGTAGATTGTCTAAGAGAAAAAACAGTTGAGGAACTTTTAGAAATTGCAGACTTTTATTCTTCCGTAACCAAAGACAAATTAGAAAAGCATATCTTTTTTAAATCCCATAGTTATCCTGTCGTTGATGGTGAGTTGTTTACCGAAGACCCTATCATTAGTTTAGAGGACAAAACGTCTGCTGTTTCTCAGTTTTTTGGATCTCTTGACTTTATTTCTGGTACAACTTCTAATGAAGGATCATTATTATATATGATCACATTTCCTGAAATGCAAGAATTTTATAGTTTTAACGTAACGGTAGGAGTTCCACACAGAGTAGCTTGTGAGGCAATAATTGCACCTTATGTTGAGACGTATCTTAAAAGCGACGACGGTGTTAAAGAAAGAATGTGCAATTTTTACAAAGCGGATGCATCTACCAAAGAACAGAGTCTCAGAGCAACTGAACTCCTGGCGGATGTCATGTTCACATATCCCTCCATTAAAATGTTGGAATTTCATGCAGCTTTGAACAATGGAAAAAGTTACCAGTATTTATTTTCTAAGACTAGTCCAGATCCCTTTGGAGGACCTCCACCTGAATGGTTTGAAGGAAGTGGGCATGGGGACGAGCTTATATGGTTGTTCAAAGTTGGAGACCATGAAGTTTCTGATGATGAGAAACAATTCTCTAGAAAATTCATACAATATTGGACCTCTTTCGCAAAATCAGGGTAAGTGTTAACTTTAGATCATTTGTCAATTGACATTGTCTTTTTTAGAACATATTGATAAAAAAAACCAATTGTAAAATACTTGTTTCAAAAGCAAATCAAATCCGGCAAATGCAAAGGAAGAATTATTTAAAGAAGAGTATATATAAACTGTCTTTAAAGTAAGTTTGTGGATGCATCACTGGACGAGGCCCTTGAAAACTTTGTAATGTTTTGTTTATTTTGAGCAAAATCTTTTCAATCTACACCCTAAAGGTTGACTAGTGTATAGAATTATGGTCTTTCATGGACTTCTCCCACCAGACAGTAAAACCCATGACATAGAAGGGCGTCACTGTAGCTGAGCTTGATGTATAAATACGCAGCCATTTACTGTCGGAATGGGAACGTTTAATCCGACGCCTTTGGTTGGGAGAATGCCACGCTCTCTGTAAGTTGAAAAATCCTTGCAATAAACTCGTTGAGGACTACGTTGGTGACCTGTTGTAAGGTCAAATGTGTACTTTATTCTTTTTCTAGCAGCAGTCGACATACCTGTCCTTAATCCACCGTCCTTAATCCATGTCTACCAACTTTACAAAACATACTTGTTGGATTTATACTTAATTTTAATCTCTTCCTGAATATGTATGTAATATTTGCTACTGGACATTAAGCAAACAACAATTAATCAATCAATATAATATGAATCTTTTCTATTTTGTTTATATGTTTCTTTTGTGTTATAGTAGACCAATCGGCGGACCTGGGTCGATGTTCTGGATACCTTTTGATTTGAGCGGACGGATGTATTTAAACTTCGATATCCCAACAGTTCTTCAAAGTTTCTACAAAATGGAGACTTCTGAATTATGGTCAGATATATACACACAAATAGAGATAGATAATAACAGAAAAGGACATGATGAATTATAGAACATGCGCATTTAAGTGCTATAGGATCAGCCAGTTAAAGGTTTCCTTCTATTTCAATTGCTACAGCAGTTCCTATGGAAAATAAATACGTAGACATGTGTCGTGTGCAATATGCATTCACTTTTTTCTGTTGTTTTTACATATTCTTCGGTTTACGACTTTTTGTGTACCGTAGATAACACTGTGATAACCCTATAGTCGGGGAATATAGGTACAAATTCGTGCTACTTTTTACGCTTCCCTTCAAGAAAAAAGTAGGCCTGCGTTTCATATAAATTTACGATTAGATCTGTTCTAAGGTTTTTTTGTGAAACAAAGGCCAGTCATATATTCTTTCTAGAACAGATTACGTCGATGGCTATATTGGAGATCCAGGAGCAATGGTGTATCTCATTATACAACTATACTACGAGATTTCTACATTCTACAAGATTTTGTAATGGGTGTAACATCATTGATTTTCATACTCACACGACGAAAACTAGTCACGGAAAACTTAAGAGAATTGATAGAATGCTGTATTAGTGTATCATCTTTGCCCATCCTCCTGAACAGTACAAGAACATCATGACATGCTATGTACTAATATTGTTCAAATTTAGTATTAAGATAACTAAAAACATGCAAAAATGGTTGTCAACAAGATGATATTAAGTAAACGCTATATAATCTTTTTCTTCTTTCTTTTTTGCGATTATAAAAAAAAAGTTAGATTACAAATGCAACCCTTACACTTGCAATGTATGTTTGTTGACGTTTGGAATATTAAACGCCGCTTCATTTCCTAATTTCTATTAGCCGAATTTCATTGTAGTGTTATGCATTATATACATTAAAACATTATTAAACACAATGTTAGCAGAGTTAATTACTGCAAAATAAAGCGGTCATTTCCGATGTGTAATACTATAGTATATTTGTCTTCTATTCTCTTCTATTTCTGGACATGAAATGTGTTTGTTTGATTTATTTAATCAGTCACTGTGGTTTAACCTCCACCCCCACCCCCTACTTTTTTATTCGAAAATATATAACTTTGAGTTTAAAATCGTCCAAAACAATTTTCACATCGCTCCGCACGGCAATATATATTCTGTTTTAGGGAATTACACCACAGCTTTTCAAAAATTCTGGATCCGCCCCTGTGAATGGTCTTGAAGTTGAATTAATCGAGACTGATAAATGATCTCTAAAATGAAGTGTCATTTAATAAAATAAAACCGGCAAATATACGTGTGTATGTTATCAATAGGAGTAAAGATCAGATGATTTTGATTCTTATGAAACTGTTTAACTATTGAAGAAACGAACGAAATGATGGGCATATGCATTTAACTGATTTGGTGTTAGTTATTTACGCACAAGCAGCACAACATGGCTGTATTGAGCCAATATACGATGTATTGGTTGATATCATATGAACTAGGAAAGAGGAGAAAGGTGGAATGGGACACGCACATGAATTTGACTGTCACGGGAAATACGCCGCATGGAAAGTTTGGTAGAGTTGAAATAGTTGAAGGCGGTATCGCCATCCCCCCCCCCCCCCCCCCACCCCACCCCCATTATAAAAAATCCTCAAACGAAAGATGATCACACTCTTAAAGAATATTGCTTGAAAAAATGGGGGTGGGGGCATTTCTTGCTAGGAGTGTGGTGTGACACTCTCCTTAACGAGACAATGCATGTACGTCTTTTCCGAAGAACATATTGCGTACTTGATACATCCTGCAACTACAAAAGCGCCTTGCAAAGAGATTATGAGGGTAGTGACGTATTCCTTAGTAGTAGGAGAACCAGAGTCAGATGTTTATACGCCGAGGTTCTATCGGGGTCGTGTGTATTTGATTTTCATCATTATTTACGATATTTTCATTGTCAACTGAGTAAACAAAGACTACAAACGTTGTAGGAATGAGATGATTGTTTAGTTTAGCGAATTGCTTGTTATCCTGTTTTACCGGTAGATCTTTTCTCGACTAAACATGTATGATCGAACCGTATAAAAATCGAATATTGATAAAATCATTTCAATGTATATTTTTCACAATAATCATTCATCTTGTCTAGTTAAGCACCGATCACGGTCTAGATCAATTCAGTCATTTGTATTTTTTCTCTTCGACAAAATAAGATGTATGGTCAATCTTCTCATAGCGTTATTTATTAATTTGTGTAAACATTATTCGTGTTATATCTGGAACAAAGTATTACGTGACTGTGTATTTACTTAAGTCACTGTTCAAAGGGAGAGAACCAAACATTTTTATCACAACTTTTATTTTGTTGATATTTTTCTCCATATCTTATCTACTGTTACTTTTTATTTTCATTAATTGATATACAACATTATATCATGTTTGTAATTATGACCTCAACAGACCTTTAATTGGTCAAATCAAAATATTGTTTAGTATTTATTGTATAGTCTGTCTTTTATAAAATTGAGTTAAATATAGACCTATATTTCTATTTATCTATCGTTATATATATATGGCCAAAAAGATGAGGACTCAACAACAAAAAAATCATACATAATTGAGATTGCATAATTAAAAAGAAGAATATCAAAACTTGGAAAAAATAATTTGAAAATTATTGATTGTTCGCTCTACTTTCACTAGGAGGAATTCACGTACACTTCACTATAAGAAAAATGTTATTGAGGAGCTCTTTTACTTTGATTTTAAACTTCAATGCTTACAAAATATAGTTACTTGTTTCTATATGGGACTACAGGTGGCCATGGATATATTATATTTGTCGTGTAACATTCCCATCTATATCTTTCAACGAATGCGAATAATTATCAGATTTTGACATGACACGAGCAACATAACGGATGCAACTAGTGGAGCAGAAGCCGCTTCTTCATCGGGATTCCCCTGATTTTACAGGGATACAGGGATTCGTGCTACTCATCTTTTTATGATACATTTGATGAATAAAGAGGAAACTGAGCAGCAACCCAACGGCATAAGAACCAAAAGACACATAGAGGTCAACAAAAGAGTATAAATGTCAATGTCTAAATCGTCCCGAGTCTAAAACATTTGTGAATCAATTTTAAAAAAGACTGTTTACAATCCGCCAGCAACATCACATTCCTTGTGTTAATATATTAATAGTTACAAAGTGTGCTAGTGACCTAATACGATATGTATATACGGGTCGGTAAATTCCCTATGGGGCGAGAGCGAGCGAAGCTCAAGCCCTATATGGAATTTACTGACACCGTATACATCGTACTAGGTCACTAGCACACTGCATGACGAATTTATCTTTCCAACTATCTTAATATGTGGAATTTAGACGAGTGACTTATTAAAGTGATCAAATCTTCAATATTAAGAACCTACTTCATTGATCTATATAAAAACAATTACCAAAAATAACAATTTGTTAGCCTTTAATGTGTTTTCTGCATTTATTTTCAATCGTTTATCATTAATTTCTTCGTCTGTTGTCTGGGGGTTCAGGGCGCAGGACATTTTAGCGAAAAATTTTGAACTACTAGGGGATAACTCCGTCGGTTGTCTGGGCGAATCGTTCCAGATTTTTCTTCAAAGCCATGTTGTTTTTATAAAGGGACGTACCACTACTACTAACCGTGTTTTAAAAAACCACACCCACTGACCAAATATTAAATATACAAGGTCTCCACGTGTTTGCTTTTAAACCATGATATTTCTAGAAGTGTATAAGAGGTATTATAAACATGTATACATAGCATAAGATAACCAGTGACAATTAAGGTTCCCGACTATAGACAAGCATATTGAAATGTCATGTGGTTTTATTTATTTATTTTATCTAAATCCGCGCCTTCTTAATCTCGATGAGTGGGATAACAAAAGGTACATAAAAAACGTACGATAAAAATCAGGACAGGAAAACACTCAAATCTATTACAACAGTATATGAGATAACAAAAACACAAGTACAAAGTCAAAACACGGCAATTAATCTTGGTATGTTGAATGAATCAAAACAATTGTATTCACAAGGATGTGGAGCTTTTTCTAGTTGTTTCGACACTAGTTTACAAGCGGACCAATCCCCTTTATGGATTTTAAGTGTTTTCGATCCTATTTCATCTGACATTCCGGTCAAAATTTAAAAAAAATATTGAATGAGGAGTTCTTTGAACTCAATATACTTTTAAAATTTACTCATTACCTTGTAAACGAGCCAAATTTAGAGGATGAACTGGCAGTGAAAGGGTGTGTTTTGTTCATAGTTACTGTAAATTCAGAAATTATTCCGATGCTTTATTTTTGCAAATAATGCGACTGGGTGAATATCTCAATATTATTGTTGTTCGGTATTTAGTTTTCTATGTTGTGTTTTGTTACTTTTTGTTTGTTTTTTATCTTTTTCTTTTTTGCCAGTTTATTTTCGACTTATGAGTTTGAATGTCCCTTTGGTATCCTTCGCCTCTCTTTCGCAATAATAAGAACTCGTATTCTGATATCTGATACATATATCTGTATGCATATTTTCCGGAAATCGCAATAACAAATCTTGCACTTTTGTCCATTCTTCTAAAATCGCAATAATAAATGAACGCAATAATTTCTGAATTTACAGTAATCAAATTAGAAATCCCGTCATCAAAATTATATATGTATGAACCTCCGCCTTTATGATTCACGGCAGTGTAATGTTTGAAAAAAGGCTTAACAAAGGTCTTGGGTTCTTCAAATACATGTAAACAGTCAGAATGGAAGCCTCAAAAGGTTACTCTGGATGGTGGGTTCAATATGATGAGTAATATCGATTAAGGAATTCAAAGCTCTCTCCACTCTTTTTCATTGAGAGTTATCCATATGGAACTGTGCTATGTTATGTTGTTTTTTTTTATTTCTAATATAAGCCACGGTGACTCTTTGTGTCTTTCAAATGGAAAAAAAACAAAATCTGACACAGAGGTAACTCTTCCACAATTTGGTTGACGGGTCACAATGTAGGACAACGTCGAACCTCTCATAGATGGCATTTTATAGAGGTAATTGTACATTTGACAAGAATTACAAATATGTTCATAAATGATCGAAATGTAATGGAAGTCATCCTTTCATAGCTTGTCGATCGTAAAAACTTATCAATTTTTGCTTAGTTTTGTATAGTTTAATGTAATACTTTTGTTGTTGTTGTTTGTTTGTTTTTAATTTGCAGGATACTTAAGAAATAATTCATGGGGCTTGAATTTATATTGAATGCGTCTACAGTTATTATTACCTATAACAAACCCGGTGATAAGTCTAATTCGGTAGGTCACATTCGAGGAAAAAGAGGGCGGGATTGTGGTTACGACGATTGGAACATATCCGTCGTCATTTGTGAAATAGATATTCCATAACGGTCAATCAACTGGTAATGGCGTCCGTAGAATTTCTCGAAGAGATGATTTCAACTTCCTACTTGGGACTCTTGGTTCAATAGCTTCCCTGTAAGCAGCAACCATCAAGCCCCAAATGACCCTCATTGTCAATTTCTAGATGTAAGTCAATATATGAGGCTTATTTAACTGTATCTGCTGTATATCCTTTATCTCAAGTTTAATGGGATAGATGCGTTCAACATAGTCACCAAACTTTGAATTATTTAGTGAAAGGACATCATCTGTATAGCAGAACGTAAAGATAGCGAGACAGAAAAAAAATTGGTGACTGACAATATATCCAAACCCACTGACCCATGGGAACCGTTTGTATAGAAAACATTCGAACTTCATCAAAAGGAATACAAGGACACTGTTGACGACCCAGTTCTGGGCAGTTATGACAGACCTGAAGCACAGACACAAAACAATTTACAGACAAGAGCTTGGAAATAGATATTTCAATATGA